AGAGCATGTGGGAGAGGAGTCATTTTGTCCCTGCCCAGGTGTTTGCAGCCAGCTAATGAGCATCTCTGGTCTCTATTTTGGGAAGATGCAATTGACCTTTTAGCTAGTTGTAAGCCAAGAGGAGGGTTGAGGCATTAGTTCACTATGGGGAACTGACATCATTACAGGATAGACCAGGGCCCATGCCCAGCCTATGTGACAGCAGTAACATTGCTCATGTTTGTGAGTAGCATCTGTCACATTATCTTAGGAATCACATACTCAGACATGTCAAGGGGAATGATGTCTTACTCATCTGGGGTGTGTTCAGTCTTCATGACTGAGTCCAGACCTCTTTGGCCAAACTGGTATATAATATGATGTTACACCTTGATTATGGCAGGTGGTTGCTTTGTTCTCTTTAAAATGTAACTAGGGCCAGGAATGTGGCTTAGTGGTAGAGTGCATGTCTAGCATGCATGAAGCTCTGGGTTCGATTCCTCAGTACCACATACACAGAAAAAGCCTGAAGTGGCTCTGTGGCTCAAGTGGTAGAGTCCTAGCCTTGAGCAAAAAAGAAGCTCAGGGACAGTGCCCAGGCCCTGAGTTCAAGGGCCAGAAATGGCAAAAAATAAAAAATAACTAGTGGGCATATTTTCTTAAGTGTCTTGTATGAAATTCTGTGAGAAAAAGAGTGAGGAAAAACTTGTTTTAGTTTTCTTCCTCCTTTACCTTGTTATGATGAACATACAAAGATAATCACTAATTATCATCATTGACAACAAAATTCAGGTCTGTTCCTTTTGGAAAACTATTATAATGAAGTATTTTTGAAATGCTTGTTTGAACTCCTTGCACTAAGAAATCATTTCATTTAAGGGACCATGAACAGCTTTTTGCAGCTTTAAAATGTTTTAATATTATATAACAGGAAAAATTGCTAGTTTTAAATATAACTACCAACCTTCTTTTGATTCATTTAACATGTATTTGTTAGTTGACAGAATAACAAAACTGTAAATGTAAGTAAAATGACTCTGTTTCTAAAGATTGCTACATGAACTTTCATAAATCCTTGTGAATAAAATTACACTTGCAGTTATGCTTAAGCTCTTCAAATCCCTATATCCTTCAGAAGAAAGTTGACCCAAATGCTTAAATAAGGACTTTTCTTACAGACATGAGTATTTCTAATGCTCCTGGAGTATCATTTTTCTTCTGCCTATAAAACAATACTCACTTAAGCCTGCTCCTGGCACTGTGTCCTTTACTATGCATTTATTAGTGTGTGAATTTGTTTTGGATGTTAGCAGTGCATATTTCTTTTCAAATCTAAGCTCTAGAATAAACTGAAATAGTTGATATAAGTAGAGTTTCATTGGTTTTGTGTGTGTAAGTTTATATGCTAGACAGGTGCCCTACCACTGAACTACATCTCCAACTCCCATTTTTCAATATCTAAACAGGTCTGCTTCTTCATTTATGGTTGTTGATCCTAACATTTTTGTTGTGGTCCCCAGTGCATAAAGAGTTAAACTCCAAATCCTTATTAAATTTATTCCAGTCAAATGCTTTTCAAATTCTTGTGCTGTAGTTAGTTTTGATTTACTTTATCTGCTTATCTGCAAACAGAAATGACGTAGCTATTACTGCTCTGACTAAATGAAACATGATTTTCATTGAAAGTACCTAGATCATATCAGTGAGAACAAATTCCAGTGGCCTCAGTGTATTTGGCCTGTTTATTTGCAATAAATTTGGTCTGTTTATTTGCAATAAATTATATTATAATTATTATTATATGCTCTTATAGACTATTTGACCAATGACATGTTATAGTTATGTTTATTTTTGGAATTAACATCAACCCCCTTCAACCTCGTTTTACATATCTCCATGAACTGCCAATTCCAGCCCACCACTCTGAGCCCTTGGCCCCTTCTCAGGTGACTGCTCTCCAGTCTTGAGGAATGTCCCCTTCTCTTGGCATTTTTACCTTACCCTGTCCTTGCTTCTCTCCGGTTGCCTGCTGTTCTAAGTTTCTTTACTCCTAGAGCGTTAGGACATCCCAGGACCTGTATTTTTTTCCTTCCATCCTTTGTTTCTGTCTCCAGATTCAAGGCCTCCAGTCTTACTCAACATGTAAAAAGCAAGACTCATTTCCCCAAGCCTGTCCCTTCATGTGAGCTTGTGGCATAACTGTCCATTTAGAAGCCTGAGGCAGAGCTTTAGGAGCCCTGCATGCAGTCTTCAGTACCCTTGGCATCCTTGTCCAGATCATCTTCACAAGCCTATGGATTCTGTCTGTCAAACCTGTTCAGCGTCTCAGTCTTCAGTACTTGGTTCTTAGTTCAAGCTCCCAGTGCACCTGATCTCCATTACTATCAGTGATTCTGTCTAACCTCCTGGTTCTCCCCAGATAGAGACATTCCTGTGCCCGTCTCACATATCTGAATCCTGAACTCTGGAATCTAGAGATATCTTGCAAAATGTGTGGAAATCGGGATTTCATCCCATTTTACCTGTGGTTTTCAAATAAAGTCCCCTTGATCTAGTCTGATAATTGGAACTGAACTTACCAAAAAAACAAACAGGAAGATTCCATTATTTTTTAGCTTCTTAGTATACTGGAATAACATAATTTTAACCAACATTAGATTTAAAAAAAAACTATTTGCAATTTATTGTTCAAATGAATTTAGTGGGGTGTCATTTACCTTCAGTATTCCCAGATTACTGTTCTGCCCACAACATCAAGCACTGCTTTAAACTCTGATTATCTCATTTATACTCATGTTACACACAGCTACTCAGAGCTTCTGAATGGCAGACTATGCTTACCTGTCCATTGATAACCCTCCAGTTAAGTCATACCTGAAAAATAAGCCCATCACAACAAGGAGAGATTAGTTTTGGTATTTGAATGGAGCATGTCTTTTTAAGATTCTGATGAAAGTACTAGAAAGATTGGTGGTTGGAATAACTGCAGTCTCCACTGTGACTAGTATATAATGTGTTCTTAGCTGCTCCTAACTGGGAAAACAAGGGGATGGTCAAGTGCTCTGTTTTGCATTTACTCTGTTCCATTTTCTGCTGAGTTGCCATAAATTCATATGACTTCACACATCTTTTCTTGCCTTTGATACATAATGAAAGACCGCATTACTCACTTGAGAGATAATGGAGGCATGGCATATAGAAACACCAGTTATTTTAACAAGCCTCAAAGGACTGAACAAGCCCTTCCATTTTTTTGTTTATAGAGTTAGGTTCATAATTGGGAAGATTCAGTTGACTCCTGATAAAATAATTCTACTTACTTGTTCAGAAAAGTAGGAATTCCTTAACTGCATAAATTGACTATTTTGGTTTGGAAAAATTATTCTTCAGCACGCAGAAATAACTATCCCCTGGGATTATTAAAATTAATGTTTATAATCTTATAAGCATATTTCCCTTGAGAGAAGGTGGCAGTTTTTACTAGGATGTTATGTGAATAATCAACAGAGGAGTGACTGAATTTAGACTTCCAACCCTTCCTTTTTCGCTGTCTTGTCTTTTTCTATCAATTAACAATTTTTAGGCCTATATGTGGAGTATAAAATTACTTGCCAGTAGTTGGATTGAGCTTCAGCATGAGCATATAAATACTTAATACAGATACATGCTTGACATTTGTTGATATTCTGACTTTTAAAATATTGCTTACACCTTACACTTCAGGAGTTATTTTTTTTCAAAGAATATAAGCTATCTGTAAAAATAACTATGATAAAATACCTTGAAACGATATATCCTAATCTTCATGGAAGAAAGATTATCTCCAAAGTGAGCTTGATATTTAATAATAAAGATAAAAATCTTTTTAGTTGTTTGGTCTTTTGGAATTAGGCCATGGACACAAAATACAAACATAATTTTTTTAAATGTGAAAATACCGTACAGAGGGGTTACAATTACATGGGCAAGGTAATGAGTACATTTCTTATCAAGCATTGTTGCCTCCTCCTTTGTTTCCCCTTCCCAAACATAATTTTAAGTCTGCTAAAACCACTCTCTACTATGTACATTGATCTTTGATCTAAATTAGAAAAGGAAATGGACCTTAGACAGTGGGATTATGGGTATTGGGTCTTTGGGTGAATTTCACTTGTATAGAGAAATATAAAAAAAAATATTGTAGACCATTAAATTAAAACTAGGTCCTTCACCTTGAAGATTAGTTTCAGGCCTACCTTATTTCCGCAGGGCCACAAATACTAATCAGACTGAGTGTTCATTCATCAGCTAAGCTGCACATAAGTGTTAATTTGCTGCAGTGTGGATTCTTCCCTAGAGTGGAGGCTGCTTTGGGGAATCTTGTCAGAAGGAGAGGAGAGTGGTGCGGAACACACTACATCAGACAATGACCCTACATTCTTTTAGTCATGATTTTTACACCCGAAACAAAAAAGCTTTGTATATACAGTCTGTGTAAAGGACCCCCAGGGTGTGGTTGTGATGATCTGAAGAATGTTGTGTATGTATTTTAATTAATCCTTGATTTAAAGCCTCCTACTTTGTTGTACTGTTGACAGTTAGGGTATACAGGACTGGCTCATACTCCTAGTTGTTACTGAAGAAAGTGGTGCTATGATTAAAATATTTTTAAAGACAATTTCAGTTTACTGAAGGAAGCTTTCCTAAAACGTACGGCTATAAAAGCTAGCATAAATGGAGTAATATTTGGTGACAGATCTCTTAAGGAGATGGACCTTTGTCATTAGAGAGGACCCCGCCTGGGTTTCAACCCAAGGCCTGCCCGTGGAGCTGGGTCCTGGGGCTGGCCATTTACTGTGGGTATGGAGCCTCAGGCAAAGCCCCGACAGATAGGCGGTGCCTGTAAGGCCTTGTTCATCTTCTCGGGATGAGACACCCAGACCGTACAGGCTCCTCCGTAGCTGTGCAAAGAGCCCCCGGCGTGGACTCCCGTGTGCCAGCCACTGCCTCGGACTCCATTAACCCCGCGCCCTTTCCCGCAGGTGCCTGAGATCATCAGCTCCATCCGACAGGCCGGCAAGATCGCCCGCCAGGAGGAGCTGCGCTGCCCCTCGGAGTTCGACGACACCTTCGCCAAGAAGTTCGAGGTGCTCTTCTGCGGCCGTGTGACCGTGGCCCACAAGAAGGCCCCGCCAGCCCTGATCGACGAGTGCATCGAGAAGTTCAACCACGTGAGCTGCAGCCGGAGGGCAGACTGGGATGCGGCCGCCCCTTCTGGGGAGCCGGGGCCCGGGGAGCCCCGCAGGCCCATGCGCAAGTCCTTCTCGCAGCCCGGCCTGCGCTCCCTGGCCTTCCGGAAGGAGTTCCAGGACGCCAGCCGGCGGAGCAGCAGCTTCTTCAGCTCCTTCGAGGAATGCGACATCGAGAACCACCTCATTAGTGGACACAATATTGTGCAGCCAACAGATATTGAGGAAAATCGAACTATGCTCTTCACGGTAAACTATTAGCCAGCTCTCGGCCCAGGCTGTCAGATGTTGTGTCCAAGAGAAAAACCCACCTTCCCGATTAGTAAATGCTTCTTTGTGAGTGATTCATATGTGAATCCAGATTTAAGGAACTACCTTTACTAGGGATGAAATTCTTACGAGGGCCACATGCTCCATTGTAGTATGGAGGGGAAAGCCTTTGGTACCAGTATGTGCATGGAAACCCAGCACTCCACTATGCGAGGTGTCTGATGGGTATCCCTAGTCAGTAGAACAGCATTGATCTGTGCTAATATTCTAACTTCAAGTGAAGTGAGTAGTGTACTTGACCGCCTAACACACTGTGTGTACTTTACTAATGTAGATCATTTTGGCAATAGTTTAAAAAGCCTAGTTTGTAAAAAAAGATCATTAGAGAGTGTTTTGAAAATTTTGCATAGAAACTTCTGTTTTCCTGGAATATTTATTTGTATACAAACCTCACTTCCTAGTAAAGAGTTCTGAGGCATATGACTAGCTTTCGTATGTCTGGTCCGTTCAGAGAAAGTGGATGTCTTATCCAGGAAAACCGACCCTAGCTATCTTGTCACTATGCACATTAATTATTCTATCACCTTAGAACCTTTGAGATGATTTTCTATATTTATGATTACTGGTTATTGGGGCTTCCCATGTTTTTGGTGACATGAAAGAGTTGAATAATAAACTTGAATTCCGTTTTCATAAAATGCTACTCTTCCCGCCCCCCCCCCTCCATTTGTTTTGTCTTTTAAGATTGGCCAGTCTGAAGTTTACCTCATCAGTCCTGACACCAAAAAAATAGCATTGGAGAAAAATTTTAAGGAGATATCCTTTTGCTCTCAGGTAAATGGAGACTGGTTATTGGTTCAATTGCAATCACATTTTAAAAAGAATTCTTTAAAAAATTATTTTTGTGTAAAAGATGCTGTACAGAGGGGTTGCAGTTACATGAGTAAGGTAATGAGTCCATTTCTTGTCGAGCATTGTTACCCCCTCCTTTGTTGTTCTCCCACTATCCCTTACCTCCCCAACCTCCCTCACTCCTCCCCCTGCCCCCAAGTTGTAAAGTTCATTTCCAATATAGTGTCTTGTGGGTATCATTGTTGCAGTGTGTCATCCTATGTCCTTGTTTCAGTGTTTTGTTATTCCCCTTCCCCTAAAAAGAATTCTTTTAATATCTGTTTTACCACAGAAATACTAAACATATAATAAGCTGTATGTTTTTAAGTACTTGGTTTATGATCTTACATTTCTTTCTCCTTTTGTATGTTAAGGCAAATTGCAATTTTGAAATTAAGAATTTTATGCTTAAGCAACAACATTGGAATTTGTTTAATTTGATGTAGAACATTAAGATAGCAGAACCTGTCAGTGGTTACTATCAGAAAATATTAGCCAGAAAGTGAGGTTATTCACAGAATTTTGTTCTTAACTTGCTTTGATTTATGTTAATGTGAAACATTTGCTCTTCTAAATTTGATAGCTTTACAGTTTCCTTAAGGACTGCATAAACTCATAAAAATTTATGAGCTTATCTGATTTCCCAAACTTTTAAGCGATTGACATTTGTCTTTCCATGAGAGTGTTTTCAGAAGAAACTTGACATATTAATATTTATGGAAGAGGTTTTATATGTATTAAGGTTGCTTCTGTTAATTGGTACTTTCAAAACAAGTTTATATATTAATTTTTTAAAGCGCCTAGGAAATGATGGCAAAGTGTTGACCTTAATATCTTGAGCTTAAAAACCTCTATTTATTTATTTATTTTTGCTCATTCTTTATACCACTTTAGTATTTAACCTCTTTATCACCTTAAGAGTACAAATATATTTTAAGTTTTTTTTTTTTTTGTTGGTCGTGGGTCTTGAATTCTGGGGCTTTGGTGCTGTCCCTGAGCTCAAGGCTAGCACTTTACCACTTGAGCCACAGCCCCACTTCCAGTTTTCTGGTGGCTAATTGGAGATAACAGTCTCATGCACTTTCTTGCCAGGGCTGGCTTTGAACCATGATTTTCAGATCTCAGCCTCCTGAGTAGCTATATTACAGGCCTGACCTACCAGTGCCCAGCATTTTTAAGGCTCTTTTAACAGCAGTAGATATGTGAGTTTTTTATGTACATGTACACACATGTATGTATGTGTATAGGTATGTGTTCTTATGAACCTGTAGTCTGCCTTTGAGTATTCAAGGAGGTTTTTGTTTTTGTTCTTGTTTTTATTTTTGTGCCAGTACTGCGACTTGAATTCAGGGCTTGGTTTCTGTCCTTTACCTTTTTGGCTCAAGGCTGGTGTTCTATCATTTGAGCCATAGTTCTACTTCCTGTTTTTTGTTGGTTAATTGGAGATAAAAGACATGGACTTTCTTACCTAGGCTGGCTTCAAACAAGATCCTCAGATCTCAGTTTCCTGAGTAGCTAGAATTATAGATATGAGCCACCAGTGCCTGACTAGAGTTATTTATTCTGTAATGCCCAATAAAAATAACAATTTTTCTATCAACTTCTCTTCCTTTTAGTAAAATGAGCATTAAAACTTGGATTTTAAATAACCTTAATTCTTGTTGTGAAGAAACCAAAGTTACATTTTAGTAGAATTATATTGATCTTCCATAGCTGAGAGATGTTTTTATATATTTTTTGATTTTTAAAATCCCTGAGCAAATAGTGATTTTATTTATTTTTTATTTTTTTGGGTCTGGTCATGGGGCCTGAACTCTGGGCCTGGGTGCTGTCCCTCAGCTCTTCAGCTCAAGACTAGTGCTCTACCACTTGAGTCACAGCACCACTTCCAAGTTTTTTTTTGCTTATGTGGTGCTGAGGAATCGAACCCAGGGCCTCATGCATACAAGGCAAGTGCTCTACCACTGAGCCAACTTCCCAGCCCCAAATAGTGATTTTATAGTGCTGTTTATGTCATTCATGGCAAGTTAAGATTAGGCCTCTGCCAGGTACAATTCAATCTCCTTTTCTCTTCTTCCCCTGCCCTTCACAGGGTATCAGACATGTGGACCATTTTGGGTTTATCTGCCGGGAGTCTTCTGGTGGCGGTGGCTTTCATTTCGTCTGTTACGTGTTCCAGTGTGCAAATGAAGCGCTGGTGAGAGAGCAGGAACACTGCCTACCTGCAACCTTGCTTGGGAAGAATTTCAACTTCATTAGCAAAACTTCACAGCCTTAGGCACATACCGTTATTTGATTTTAATTATTTGCTCATGACTAACTGAAGTTAGTATACATCTGAAGCTTTGTAATTGCATTTTTAATTTTTATTATTTATGATAAATATGTTCATTTCACCCACTAGTCTAATCTAGCCCCTAAAAATGTCATTTTGAACTTTGAGAAACATTTGTTTTTTATTCAACATTTAATTGGCTTTTATTTTGCATTTTAGCTGCTTTAACAGTAGTTGAGTATCTAGGGAGTACTAACAATTATGAAGTGTAGTCCATAAAAATCTTAGAATATAGTCTTTTCCACAGACCCATTCTGGCTAACTTGGAGCTGACTTTTTGTTGGCTACCGTTTCTCGTCTTGATTAGGTTGACGAAATCATGATGACTCTGAAGCAGGCTTTCACAGTGGCTGCGGTGCAGCAGACGGCAAAGGCACCAGCCCAGCTGTGTGAGGGCTGCCCTCTGCAAGGCCTGCACAAGCTCTGTGAGCGGATTGAGGGTGAGTAGGGGCACTTACATCCAAAACACAGTGGGAGTCAAGGCTCCTGAAAACCTTAGATGGCAGTATTTGTTATACGCTTCTGCCTGACAGAGACGTGTATGAGTCACAGATGATCTTTCACCCTGCATCAGAAGATGCCTTCTAGAAGTCAGTATTTTTATGTATACTACCAATATGGACCCATATCCCCTTCTGCCATCTTCCTCCAAGACCCTTTGTGGATGGTGGAGGAGTTAGCAGAATGGAGTTCACTGAATATTTGTATAATGGAGGTGCTAGTGGTGGTTAGATTGGCCCTGCATGTTTAGTAAGCTAAAGCCTAAGGAATTTCTACTAGGGTTCTGCCTTAGGTTACCTGGAACCACTGCTAGGATGGTTTTAATGGTAGGGAAAGAGAAAGCAGTCTGCCATTGAGTGAGGAATGAAAAAGAATAAAACAGGTGGTGAGTGTGTGGATCATGACTTCTGGAAACTTGTCTTAGCTTAGAGAAACCACCACACTATGCTAGGATTTGCAGCCAGTGGTTATTGAGTAGGACAGACAAGCTAGGTATGGGTTTTTCTTTTATCTAGTTAATCTTCACATTTGTGGGAGGGAAAGACCACAAGTTTTACACATTTTAAAGATAAGTGAATTGACGATTAGAGAGAGCTAGGAATGAGCATAGTGTTCATGGAGCCCATATCTAGCTCCAGGTGGTAGGACCCTGGCTATTACCTCTAACAAAACTCATTTTTCTAAAATCAAGCCATGCTGGGAAAGTCATGGTATACCAACTAACTTTGTATTTTTAGACCCAATGAGCAATTTGAGCAAATTCTGAACCAAGAGAACCAACTTGTCAGAATGGAGTGGAGAGGGTCCTCCTAGACAAAGTGAGGAATCTGCCTCCATCTAGCAAGAGGAGACAATGTCTGACTCTAGGTTGGCAGGGCAGGGCTGAGGTAGGGTCTTGGTGCACATCCAAGGGAATTTAAAAGGTGAAGGGATTTATATCTCTCTTCTTCTTGACTTTACATTTTGTCCCATTTATGGCAGGATTTCCAAAACCTTTTCATTTGCTTTGACAATGTCATGATTTAAACCAGTGGGTTGTTGTGTTTCTAGAATACTTACTATAAGCTATACTTGTATAAAGAAGTATATTGACATTTGGTCTGCCTTTTCTCTTTTAGATGTAATATTGGTAGGAAGTAGATGTGTAGCTCAAGTGGTATAGTGCCACTTGTGAATAACAAAAAAAGCTGAGTGAGAGCTCAAGGCTAGAGTTCAAGCCCCAGTAAATTTTTGGAACAATATTCTAACATCAAATTTGCTATTTTAACTGTGTGCAGGTCAATGGTTTTTAAGTCTATTTACATTTTTGTATAACTGTCATCTCCAGCTATCACCAGGATTATTTTCTTCTTCCCCAATTTCAACTGATTTAATGTTCTACTCTTTTTCACTTCCTCTAGCCCCTAGCAACCTGCAATCTACTTTCTGTTTCTATGAATTAGACTACCCTAAGTGTCTTATGTAAGTGAAATTATATGGGATATTTCTTGTTTTCTAGTTAATTTCACTTTGCATAATGTCTTCTAGATTTTTTTATCATATTATGTGTCATAATCTTAATCCTTTTTAAGAGGGCAAATGATATTCCATTATATATATCCACTTATCAATGGACATTTTGGGGTTTCCACCTTTGGCTATTGTGAATAATGTAGCTATGAGTGTTGTACAAATATCTGTTGAAGTTTCTACTTTCAGTTCTTTCAGGCATATGCCCAGAAGTATGCTGGATTATATGGTAATTCTGTGTTTAAATGTTTAGAAACTGCCATGCTGTTCTATGATTATATCATTGTATATTCCCACTAGCAGTTCCAGTTTCTCCATATTCATACCAAAACTTGTTCTGTTCCTTGGATGATAGTCGTCTAGTTTATCTTATTTCTGAGATAAATTAACAATTGACATCTTAAGGTCTGGAGAGGTTTATTTGTGCCATTCTAGTATTCTCTAAAGTGCTCATGATTAATATTTTCAGCTGTTTTTCACATTGCTTCTGTTTGCTGACATTATACAAAATATGCCTGGGAACCAAAGAAGTTCTGCTTTAACTAGAAATTCCAGATGAGAGGGCCACTAACTCTTTTCTTAGTGGTTGTCAAGATAAGGTAAATGATGACAGAAATGTCCCTTAAGATCTTATTAAGAAGTCAGCAATGGCTTTGCCTTGGAAGATAAAGCAGATCATGATCTGCAGAACTGGAATGCTTCCAGAATCCCATTTGGTAAATCTTTCTTTGGTCTGGCTCAGCTTTCAAAAAGTTACAGCTGTAAAAATTTAATCAGGGTAGGGATTTTGCTGCTGTAGCTTTGGAAACAATCATTGAATTCATCTTTTACATGATAGAATCCAGCCAAGGCAGAAAGTTCTGCGAACATAAAAAAAACAGCAATTAAATGATGTCATTAGAAGTTAGGGGAGAGTATGTTTTACCTATAGAATGGGAAGCACTTCTCAAAGTACAGATGGCATATTATGAGAGGTGGCCCTGGTAGGGAGGAGATAATTATAATTTACTTGCAGAGTTGGAGACTAGAAATACAGAATAAACGAAGTGGTTTATTAAAATTCCTGTGGAAGTATTTCTAACAGGGGACTGTGGTCTGACCAAGAACTCTATGAAGTAGTTCATTGGAAAGGACCAATGAAACAGCCCCATGATGAAAGATTTACAGAAGGTTTTCTTATCACTTGGTGTGGCCTATGCCCCAGAATGTATAAATAAAATAAGCACACATTGTACATGTTTATGCTAGACTCACCACTGTAATCGGCTCACACAATGTATAAGAGGTCCAACTCTGTCTGTTGAGAGAATCTGTACAGCTGTGCTTAAATAGTATTGTGCTTAAATAGTATTTTGCTTACTCTCTAGTTCAGAGGAACATTTGGGGAAATAGTAAATTAATTACATTTTTTTTCAGTACTGGGGATTGAACTTGGCCTCATATTTGCTAGGCAAGCTCTCTACCAGTTGAGCCATGCCCTCAGTCCAAATTAATTATACTTTCCTTGAAGTTGAAAGTTGAACAGAGGTTTTCTTTTGTTCTCAGCAAATTTTCTTCCAGCTAAAGTCATTTATCAGAGCTCCCTCTGATAACATCTTTTCAGCTTGTTGTTGTTGTGTTGTCTTACTAATGATCAGAGCTCTCTAGAGTCTGGTTCTCCTTTTCTACTTGGGTCCCATTTTCTTGTGTGTGTCCCATTCTTTTTCCTCACACCTCATTTGGTATCACAGGAGACCATTAAGGAGATATCTCCTTTATGGACACACTAGTGGCTGTAGCTGGCAAGATGCTATGTGGCAGGCCCTGGACCTGGGTTAGAACCAGCTGGTTTGAGATAGGGCAGGAAGGACCTGATGAGTTGAGATACCCTAAATCAGGCAAAGACTGATTGGAAGATCCCTTCCTATTTGAGGAGATGAAAAGACTGCCCTGTATGATTTAGCCTTTGTTCTCCTGTAGGTGTAGTTATTCTAGCTTTTCTTAGATTTCCCAATTCTGAATGCTTCACCAAACGACACAGTATTTGCAAACCCTGATGCTTACACTGTATCAGAAACATCCTCTAGATTTGGGGAACCATTTTAGTTGAAGATTACAAGTGCCTATTTATAATGTTAGTCACTTTTGCCTAACGTTTAAGTAGTTGCTGAAATAAGCTTGCCTCTACTTCCTTGGCTTTTTATAACCCAGCAGCTGGCTAGAACTAGGGTATATGAATTACACTCTGAAAAACTCAACTGTCCTTTTCACGTCACCCTACTTCTGTTTGTACTGAAGACACCTGTGGGTCAGGAAACTTGGTTCTGTTAGCCAAGAGAAGTAGTGGAGATCATAGTTTCTGGGCAGATGTAGTGCATATTTCACTCTGTCCTTTATGTGGTGGTTGACCTGGCACTCACCACTTTAAATTAAGGTCTCACTTTCTGTCTAGGCATACACTTGGGTGAGATTTACCCGTTAGGCCCTTGTAGCTGAGGATCATCAGCAATTCATTGAGAAAGTATCCTGCAAACTTTTCTGCTTTGGCTGGCCTCAAATCTCAATTTCAAAACCATTTCAGCCACTCAAGTAGTTAGATTATAGGTACAGGTCAGTAGTACTCAGCTGTTTGTTTTTTGTCTCCACCCCCTTTTTGGTAGAGCAGTCTTCTGCATAGCAAATAAGTGCTCAACCACCTGGCCCATGCCCACAGCCCTGTTTCTTTCTTTTGAGATAGTGCCTTACTTTGTCCAAGCTGACCCTGAACTCAAAATCCTTCCCACCTCTATTTATTGAGTAGCTTGGACTACAGGTGTGTACCAGGTGCCATTCCCAGCTCAAATATCCCAGGGAAGAACCCAGGTAAAAGATGATACTGTCATCATTGACTTGAAGTTCCCTAAAGCTTTGCTTGCTGAAAGCAGGTGGGTAAGCTCATTAGGGAGTAAGTATGGAGGATGTGAACTCTACCTCACTCTTTTAATAGTTGCTTCATGTCTTTCCTTTTTTTTTCTCTTTCTTACTAGGAATGAATTCCTCTAAAACCAAATTAGAACTTCAGAAGCACCTGACAACACTGACAAATCAGGAACAGGCCACTATTTTCGAGGAGGTTCAGGTATAGTACCCAAAGTTTAACTTCTAAGGAGAAAGCAAAGGCTTGAGACAACCTACCTATGAAATATCCTGTGTTGTTACAGCCCCAAAGAGGGGCTTCCATTTTCAGAATCCCCATGAGGGACCAGATTGGGAAGGTCAGTTCAGGTTCACCATCAGTTCTGGGCTTGATTATGATCAATGTAAAAAAAAAACCCCAAACCAGACATTTCTCTCTCTTTTTAAAAATTTATACAATAATTAAAAACTATCTGTAAGTAGTTGTACAAAGGAGTTCCAATACACCTCTCTTAAGAAATATGTTAGACTAAGAAATTATAAAGTGGGAAAAATTTCAGCCTGGGAGACAGGCCTGGACTCTGGTCCACACATGCTTTTCCGTTCCTTGGGACTTCTGTCCACCCATTCCTTCTCAGGATTTCAGGCTAAAGTAGGGGAAAATAAGGATTCAATCTTTGGATATGAATCTGAAAGTTGCATGCTTTAGAACATGTAATAAAATCTAAAAAGAAAAAGAAAAAAAACCACACAAAATGAAGTAAAATCCAAAGTCATTGGCTTTCCATAGCACCTGTCCATCCTTGTATGAGCTGCTGTGGGTCTGAGAACTCATGTTGCTATGTTGGTGTGTTTGCTTGCTTATTATGAATCCTGTGAATAGCTCATCCCCAATTTCATGTTTGCCCCAGCAGATAGGTATTTTCCATGGCTTCCTAGCACTTTTATTAACCCTTTTGTAGGACACTGGAGACAAATAATAAATGTGGTTTTATTTGGGGTGATGGTGGTGGGTTAAGGCTTGTGACAGCAGGCTGGTTCTACAAATACAGGAGTGATTAAATTAAACAGTCAACAATAAGACCATAAAGTCTATAATCTGTTTTATGTTTGCATTAAAAATTTAAAGCATTATCTTTTTCTTTTAAGTCCCTAGTTTTTTCCCTTGTCATCCTTATGCAGTAGTGTTGCCATGTATTTGTAGAAAGGACCTTAGGGAATGATTTTTTTGTTGTTGTTGTTGGTCATGGGGCCTGAACTCTGGACCTGAGCGCTGTCCCTCACATCTTCAGTTCGAGGCTAGTGAGTGCTCTACCACTTTGAGCCACAGCACCACCTCCAGCTATTTTTTGCTTATGTGGTGCTGAGGAATCGAACCCAGGGCCTCATGCATGTGAGGCAAGCACTCTACCCCTAGCCAACTTCCCAGCCCAGGGAATGATTTTTTTTATTAATATTTCAAAAATAGCTTAGAAAGTTATTTTCAGAGTTTTCAATTGCCTTTATGTTTTTTTGAACTAACTAGAGAAAATGCAATGTGATTTATATGTGGACTTGAGAAATGGACAACTGATTGTTAATGCATTTAGAATTGAAGCCAAGGCTTCACATAGAACTCCCCTATGACCCAGCAATCCTACTTTGGGGCATTTACCCAAATGTTTACAAACAAGACCACACTAAAGCTACCAGCACAACTATGTTTATTGCAGCATTATTTACCATAGCTAAGATATGGAACCAACCCAGATGTCCCTCAGTAGATGAATGGATCAAGAAAATGTGGTATATATACACAATGGAATTCTATGCCTCCATCAGAAAGAATGACATTGCCCCATTTGTTAGGAAATGGAAAAACTTGGAAAAAATTATATTAAGTGAAGTAAGCCAGGCCCAAAGAAACATAGGTCCCATGGTTTCCCTTATTTGCAATATCTAGTATATCTATGAGTCAAGCGGAAAAAGTCAGGTAATGTGATGTCAGGAAAATGAACCCTTAGACATGTATTTTAATGTTTTTTCTTTCAGGCATGTGTTTCTAACGCATTTATAAGACTATCTCTTTGTTGCTTTGTATGTCCCTCCCCCACAGTATAACCCCTGCTTTCACTATATTTGATGTCAGTATAACTTGTGGAGGAGATGGGGAAAAACCAGTTGTTTAAGGATACAGGTGGACCTGTTGCAACAAAGAGAAGTACAAGTTATCATGTCCAAAACGAGCTTTACAACGTCGGTGCGGGGGGGGGGAAGGGGGGGAAGGAGAAGGATTGGGATTGGGGGGGAGGGGGGAGGCTGGGAAGGGATGTGAAGGGTAAACCAAAGGAGGAGGCAGCAATGCTTGGTAAGAAATGTACGCATTATCCTGCCCATGTAATTGTAACCCCTCTGTACAGTATGTTCACAAATAAAATAAAATTAAAAAAAAAAGAATTGAAGCCAAGGCTGCCAGGACTGACCCACTTACTGGTGTGTGAGTCTTTTATAGGAGCATCTTACAAGCAGAGAGGATGTGCCTCTTCTCTAGTGTGAGGTTTCACATTCATGCTGAGCGTGCCACAGAGCATGTTCTGAAACACAGGTCACACAGTGTAGATAATGCACAGAAGTTCCTCCTGTAGCAGTGAGGTGTTACTGATGGCCAGGAGTCTGAGCTTCTCCATTCTCCATGCATGTTTTTAAAACAACCCGACACGTGATGGCAAAAGAGACTTTAGAAAACAAGCAAATAACAAGGGTTCACTTTTGGGGGGGAAAAACCTTGTAGGTAATGTCTCAGGACCTACTGCGTTGTAGAAGTCTCTAATTTTTATTTTTTTCTGTGTTGGTCTGAACTAAGAAAGAATCTTGTTGTCATTGGCTTTGAAAACCCAGCCCCAATTTTATTCCCATTATTGCAGTTGTCTTTCTTGAGTGCTGTACATTTGATTTGACATTTTCTTCTCATAGCCCATTCAAGAGTTGCTTTCTCAGTGACCATTCTGGTTCTTTTCTAAAACATTTTCCAGACCAAGTTATTGGTTTCTTTTTAGATAGTACCTATAATCTGCTAATATATTGAAAGGCATACAGTTCAGAAAGTTTATAAACAAAGACATGGCTTTATGGTTTTATGTGTTCACTTAGAAAAGTAAATCTTTTTCTTTGCACAGTCTTTCCTGGAGAGAAATTTATTTCTAAAAATCTCCCCCAGGGACAAATTTTCATAAGGCAATTATGAAATTCTAATTATGTCCAATAGTACATGATTATGTAGTTAAAGAAAACATGCATACTATATTCAGTGCTTTTATAAATAAATGGTTAATGAAAAGTAACACAAAATCAAAGAAAAACTAGCCTGAGTCTGCAGTATGGCTTGGGTTGACAGAGTGCTTGAACTTCTGAGTTTACTCCTTAGTACTGAAAAAATAGAGAAGGTGGAAGAGAGGAAGGGAGAAAGGGAAGTGAACTATAGAAATAATGTTGGAGATGATGGCTGCTGACCTTGAGCACTCTGATAGGACTGGTACTGGGCATGAGGGCATATAGGCCCTTTTCTTCCTAAGAAGACTTGTGACATTGCAAAGCTTCTTCTTATTTGTGAACTGTTGGAGATACATAGTTTTCCATGTGTCTGATTGGCACATGTGAAGATGACATTGCAGGGATACACTTTGCTGCCACATTCCCCCTTTGACTATCTAATAGAAACTTAATCTGGAAAAAATCTACTTTTAGCATCTGATGTACAAAATTATGTAACATCAGGATTCATGGTGTGAAGAGCAGGTTGAGTGTCTACTTCAGCCTCTAAAATATTGGATGATTGGATATGAAACTTCAAACTTATCAGTGAAAACAGACCCCCTCCCCCAATCATTTATTGTCTTTTCCTTGAGTAACAACAGCTTGTTTTTTTTTTTTGTTGTTGTTGATTGTGGGGCTTGAGCTCTGGGCTTGGGCCCTGTCCCTCAGCTCTTCAGCTCAAGGCTAATGATCTACCATTTGAGCCACAGCACCACTTCCGGTTTTCTGGTGGTTAATTGAAGAGTCTTACGGACTTTCCTGCCTGGCCTGGCATTGAACTGCAATCCTCCGATCTCAACCTCCTGAGTAGCTAGGATTACAGGTGTGAGCCATCTGTGCCTGGTTACAACCTCCCTTTCAAATGATCTTTTCCTTTAAGGGAGGGCATGCTAGAGGTCTGGATTAAAGTTACCTTTCTTTTTAATACTGTGACATAAAAGATAACACCATCATTCCTTAGTTAGATGAGGAAAAATTGCCAAGAATGGTGCTGCATGTATAGTTGATCTTTGTATTTCATCTTGACTCTGTGTTAAAGGGCAGGCTAGAAGTTTGGAGCCACAACAGGATAGGGCAGTATTACCAAACTACTGAGTAGTTCATTTTGGCTTTTTCCATATTAAGAGAAAATAAAATAATATGTTAAATTGGATGATCTTTTGAAAACAGACTGTGACCAGTATTTCAAATGCTATGATTTTAGGAGCTGAAGGAGACCATGAAGTTTATTTTTTGCACAATTCTTATTTTAATAGACCAAGAAGCTAAAACTAAAGGACTTGGACTTGTTTGGCAATAATCCTACATATCCTGATTTCTAATGTATTGTGCTTTGTCAGTGCCCTGCTTACATAGTAAAAGACCTAGACAGACTTTAAACAAAGAGAGGAAGAAGAGAGTGAGCAAGTTATGAAATTTTACATGGAAGTGCCTGCCCCATGGGGCTTCCACAAAGCGCTTCATGATGAACACATTTGGCATGTGACCCTGTAACCCTGAATCCAGTTGCTATGTTCCTTTTTAGTTCCTAATTGCTTATAAATGTGTAGTCATTATGGCTCTTGACCTCTGGGTGTTGACATAGATTTTGTTTCTTCTGTTTAAAAAACTGTTTATTTATTAAATATTTTGGCCATGTCCCTATCTGATGGTAAAATTTTAGCTAAAAGAACATCAGAGATCAGATCTAAATTAGGCTCAGTGACTCCACTATTCTGTTTTAAAAATTTAACTTCACTATTAAGATCACTGGTGCCCCCTGGTGAGATGATTTGGTAAAAAGCATGATCAGTGAGTAGACGTCAGGCCTTCTTTAGAAGTGTTTAATTGTTAATAATTAAAAGTATTCTTAATATATCCCATTTATGTTATATTTTAAAGAAATTGAGACCAAGAAATGAGCAGCGAGAGAATGAATTAATTATTTCTTTTCTGAGATGTTTATATGAAGAGAAACAAAAAGAGCACATCCACATTGGAGAGATGAAACAGGTATGCACTTTTATTATCATTATTATTGTAATATTTACTAGGAAATAGTGTATGCAAAGTCTTGTTGCTTGTCTATAGCACTAAAGCCTCCTTTTCGCCTTAATTTATTTTTATTTATTGTACATGGAGGAAACATTTAGGAGTCTTAGTTATACATAGAGAAGATGAGAGAAGTTTCTGCCTGCCTTATAGAGGGTTGGAGCACTTAATGTGATCTGAGTGTGATTTAAGGCATGAAGAATTAAGAGTGAGCACTGTCACGATGAGCTATGTGACTTGTTGGAGCTTCTCTTTGTCACCTCATGTTTCTTCCTTGAAAATGAGATTATACAGTAGCTTTTGGGATTGTGTAAAGTATCTGAAAGTACTCTGTAATGTTACTGACCAGTCAGATACAGTGTTAGAAAGCCTGGTTAAATGCTGTTCATCTGTAGAACTTCCATCAATTACACTTTGCAGGAGGATAGTCTCCCTCCTATCTTATAACTGCGCAAGCTTTATATAGCTTTGCTGTTTGTGAGGTACCCTATGTGGTACTACTTACGGATCTCTTTTTTGAAGAGTTTGGCATTCAGTATATCTGGTGCCTCATGATCCACTTTCCTTTGACTCATTTGATCACTAATAGCTTCCAACCATGTACATTTTATATTTTCTAAAGCTATTGGCCCAGAGAATTTAGAGAAAAAAGAAATCAGTAAAGGGTACTTAAGTTTCTTAAGTTTCCAAAAGTGCACTGCCTTTTTCCTTTTAAATATAATTTGAATGCTTATTCCAAAGACACAGGAAAGGCATGTTGGTACTCAGTACTGTATCTTCCCTTGCTCTCCTCACAGATGCCCCTCATTGTCTGCTAACCTAAAGTTAGTGTAGTTCTAATTGGATGCACAGGTAGAAATCCTCTTTATTTGTTTGGCTGGTTAGCTTTGGCACTGATGTGCCTTTTATAAACTCTCATAGCTCTATACAATGGCTGGCATTGTTTTATTTTATCTCCTCTGACAGCCTAGGACCCTGTAGCAGTGGCCCGACACCAGTGTATTGTTTGTGTCGTTGGCTTTTGGCCTTGGTCTAGTCCCATTTCTCCCCTTCTAGCCTGGACTTGATGGGTAACATTGGGGTTCTGAGCCCCTCTGTTTACTTAAGGATAGACCTCTCTCAGTCTAGGTTTTCAGCGAATTTTCTTGTTCACTTTTCAAGTTTCCTTTCTCTTTTTCACTCTCTACCTGGTTTTTGTCTCTTTGTCATGGATAGCTTTTTCATAGTTCTGATTTTCCATTTCCCCCAGTTAGTCTCTGACAAAAAATCAATAATTTTGAAATCATAACTGAGTGAAAGAATGAAGCATTAATAGTGGAGAGAAGTGTTTTTAAATACTATGAAGATTTATAGTTGATGGAAAGTTCAGATGTATGTACTAACTCCTTTTTGTGGACCAATGTAAGAGTTGAGCTTCTTCAGTGGAGAAGTATGTGTATTTTTTTTCCATCTTCAAAATATTAGAATTTATTGTAAAAGAGTCCAAAGCCTGGGTACTAATGGCTCACATATGCAGTCTTAGCTACTCAGAAGGCTGAGAACCGAAAGATCCATTGGAAGCCACCCTAGACAGGAAAGTCTCTAAGACTACATCTCCAAAATAGCCAGCAGCAAACCATGCTGCAGACATGGCTTAAGTGGTAGAGCGCCAGCTGTGAGCAAGAACACAAGGCCTGAAGCTTGTTGGCTGTCTAAGGACTGGGAAATAACATGATATTGCCTGGCCAAGACAACTTCAGGAAAGATTTAATATTCAGTAAGTCTTGGGAGTTTTCTTCACAGCCACCTAAATTTTTATTATGTGAATCATAATAGAACCATCCAGGAAAAAAGATTCCCACCCCTTCCCTAGGAATTTGTAAATGATCTGTCATCTAGAAGCTTCTGTGTCTGCAAAGAACTTGTTATGGGGTCTTCATCCCTTCTCTTACATGGAAGCAGGAAATCTTTCTCCTTTTTTTCCTTTTTCCACTTCTTCTACTTTATCCTTTTATGCTAAAATAAATCCTTGCTAAAACTTACTTAAGAAAAGAACCCCCAGGCTGCACCCCTTCCTGGGCCATTGAGCACCTATGCGTTGCCAATAGATGTAGCTGAGATTCTCCAATGAATGTCTGCTCAAATTTTCTGCTGCTGTCAGACAATTAGCTATATGGATTTAATTGCCTTTTTGTTGCATCTAAAAATTCTTGTTGCCTAGAAAACGTGTTAGGATGTGACCTACACAGGTAGAATTAAGGTGTTAACAAGGAAGTTCTCCCAAAAGTGGGCCCGAGGCAGTGAGTCTATGGAAACCTGTTCTTGTTGTTTGTTTGTTTGTTTTTATTTATTTAAGTTACCTTTAGTCCTCCACAAAAAGAATTCATTTCGACATCTATTTATGAGTTTACCCCTTTCATTAACCGACATCTAGAGCTGTCAGAAGGCTCAATTTCCATCAAGTAGACAAACACATCTTCAAGTCTTATGGAAAAGGTGTCAATTTGGGCAAAAGACCTATATATTGTTATAGTTAACTTTGTATATGTATATATACATTATAACTAAAAGGTATATGAACGTACATTAAAGCTAAAAATGACACCTTTTACCTTTTAGTCAGAGGGGCATATTACTTCTACTTGTATTCACAAGCAGTGCAAAAATTAACATTAAATCAGTTGTCAGTGAATGTTTGCCGTGTATCAGATGTTAATAATTCCTTAGTCAAAAATTCCCTTCATACTCCAACAGAAATGTTGAAGTAGGGAAGAAAATACTTGTTTTAGAGACAAGAAAATGAGAGTACAAGTCAAAGAGTGTGTTACCAGGTGGCCAAGCCAATTTGTCTGAGGTCTGGATACATTATTGTAATCATGTTTTTTAGGAGCTTAAAATTTAGTGCTGTACTGATATTTATTATCCTGGGTCCGTTATCTATTTGTTCATTTCTATTTATTTTATGTATTTATAAACATTTTTTTTTGCCAGTACTAAGGCTTGAACTCGGAGCCTTACACTCAGGGTCTTGTGGTCTTGTTCTTTATTTGTTCATGGTTGGCACTTTACCACTTGAGCCATGCCCGCCAGTCCAGCATTTTGCTGATTAGAGATGGAATTTCAAGGACCTTTCTACACCTCCTGGTTTCAAACCATAATCCTTAGATCTCAGCTTCCTGAGTATCTAATACTACAGGTGAGAGCCAACTGCATGGCAGAATATTATTTTCTATATTTTAATTATTATTTCTTTAATTTCCCCCCCTTTTTGGACAGAAATTGGGTTTTGAACCTAGGACATTGCACTTTCCACACTGATGCTGTACCTCTGAGCCATGACTTTAGATCCCCATTTTTGGTTTTGAGACTAAGATCTTGTTTCTTGCCAGGCACATGTGTGAACTGAGTCTACCTACTTTAGACTTCTCATCCTTGCTTGGATAACATAACCTCATCACTGTGTTCAGCTTTTCTCCATTGAGATGGAGGGAATTAATTGTTCCACCCTGGTGGCCCTAGAACCATAATCTTCTCAATTTTAGCCTCCCATGTAGTTTAGGATGCCAGGCTATACCACTGTACTCAGCTATGGATTGAGAAAGTTTTTCTTTTGCCAAAGTTTGTCTCAAACTATCATCTTTCCATTGTCTTTTTCCATTTCCCAAGTAGCTGAGATTACAGAAAGTGGCCACTGATGTCTAGCTTCTCAATGTCAATTCTAAATCGATGTTACTTACAAATTATAGTTGAGTCGTGCCATAAGACATAGAAAGGACTCTGGTTTTGTTGTTGTTTTGGTGCCAGTCTTGGGGCTTGAACTTAGGACCTGGACATTGTCCCTGAGCTTCTTTTGCTCAAGGCTAATGCTCTGCTACTTTAGACACAGCTCCATTTCTGGCTCTGTGCGTGTGTCTGTATGTGTGTGTGTGTGTGTGTGTCTGTGTGTGTGTGTGTGTGTGTGTGTCTGTGTGATTAATTAGAGATAAGAGTCTCACACTTTTCTTCCCAGGCTGGCTTCCAACTTCAATCCTAAGATCTCAGTCTCCTGAGTAGGTAGAATTACAGGTATGAGCCATCAGCGCCAACAGAAAGGACTTCGTAGAGGAGAGCAGAGGCAGCATTGAATTAAGTATGCAGGATTCTTCAGGCCTGATCTTGCTTTCTTTAGTCTTGTAGTCAATATTTATATATCAAATCCAATTAATCTGATTTGCTTTAGTGTATGAAACTACTATGAGCTTTAAAAGCAGTTGTGTATTATCTTCACTTTTGGGGAAACTAGTGTTGAGTTCAAGGAATGCCTCTCAAGGTTCTTTGTGGATGATTCCTTTTATCCTGGAAGCTGAACTGTCTCAATCCTGGAAAGGCTCTTTCTTATTCTTGGAGAATACCCCTAGCACAGAACCAATCTAAGGTACATAAGTATCATAGGCACTTAATATTTGTTGAGTGAGTCTTTGTTGCCTTAGGCATGCATTCTTTGGGAGCCTGTCTGCCATTACTCATCTACTCACTGCCTCTTGAGCAAGCTTTATCATCCAGAGTACTTGTGCTCAGTGCTAACAGAACACAAAAGTAAATTATAGTCTCTTGTTAAAGGAATTTTTATACCAATAGCCATTCTTTTTGTGTATATCCTAATTCTCACAGGAATGAAATCATAGATAATTGGACAATTATGTAGCTCTTGTCAGTATGTAGCCCTTATCAGAACACTGTCTCTCTTACACCTTGAAAACATTTGTAGCATTCATTAGTGAATTAGCACTTTTATTATTCATCAGCACTGATGAATGAAATTGAAAGACGCTTAATAGCAGTAGTAATTAGGAAAGACATAATAAGAGAACATCCTCTGTCCAACAGAAAGGCAGAGTGTAAGAATCCAGGCAGTACTTCGTAAAGGTAAAACTCATGTGCTGAGCTGAGGACTGTGAATTGGTGCCATTTAAAGAAAGAAGCTTGAAAATGCTTGGATCACTGAAGATGCACAGTGCTAGAGGCTCTCAAGAACATGATTATTTCCCCGGCAATATTAAGGAGCTCTGCCTAAGAGAGGTCACTGCATCCTCCTTTGTAAAAAAGCGTAGAAGCAGAGAATAAACATTGAACTGAAGTGGGAAGAATAAAGGACATTTGCCAGCATGGGTAAATAAATCTCAAAACGAATATTGAAAGAAGAATAATTGCAAAGGGATTTGTGCATTGTAATTCCTTTTAAAGTTTCAAATACACATAAGCCAATATAAAAATAGAAATCGTTTCACTTTTTCCTGTGTCACAGATTGCAGCAGAGAATATTGGAAGTGAATTACCACCTAGTGCTACTCGTTTTAGGCTAGATATGCTGAAAAACAAAGCAAAGCGATCTTTAACAGAATCTTTAGAAAGTATTTTATCCCGGGTAAGTAGCTTAATTTTCTTGTAATTTAGATTAAATCACTTTTTAGGAGAGCCTAAGATTTAATTCTATGCCTTTAATATACCAGCTTTAATCACTCAAGTACAAAAATATAAATCCTAAAAGTATACATAAGTCCTTTTTTATGTTTAGTCTTAGAACAATGATATTATATAGCAGAGGCTAGCCTTGGACTCCTGATCCTCCTGCCTCGATCTCTAGAGAGCTGCTCTACTCTTACATTCTATCTCTTTGGATTTATTTTGTTTTGTTTTTGTATTCCAAAAGAGTGTTGCTCATTGGCCAGTCCGTATAGGGAGCATAGATTGCATAGGCCATGGTATGGTCTTGGTTCTCCCTGGTGTCACTAGAGACAATGTTTTAAAAGCCAGTAACTTCCAGCTGTTTTTCTTAGCTGTCTGGAACTTTTTATAGCAGAGCTTTATAAACTGTTGGATTCCTGGACCAATTTCCACACATTTTCAATTGTTTTGTAAATAATGTTTTATTAAAACATAGTTGCATCCATTAATTTACTTATTGTTTAAGGCTGTTATTGTGCAAAATTGAGTACCTGTCACAGGCAAGAACAAACTACAAAACAGGTGTCATCTTCAGAGTTATCAGAAAGCACACCACCATTCCTTCATGCCTTGATGGTTGGCACATCTGAAAAAATGAAAGTTCAACTTTCAGTCAGAGTTTCATACCTTTTTGGAGGCTACCATATATCATTATAGTTTTTTTAATGACACATTCCCTTTGAAACATAGGTGTTATCTAGTTTAAAAAGAAAGTTAATTTTTGTTTGATATTTCTGAACTTTGAAATATATTACAAGAAATTGAAAATAGCACATTTAAAAAACCAGAGGAGGAGGGGCTGCTTTTGAAAGCTCAGAGAGGGCTAGAGAGAGTGACACATAGGGAGAGTGGTGGCCGTTTAATGTCTTATAACTTGGGGGACAAACTGTTGAGTGGGCTTACTTGAATATCTACTTTTCCTCATAGATTTGTCTCTTCTTCCCACCTATTATCTTTATCAAGTGACTGAGCCATAAGAAATTGCGGAATATTTAGTATGGTATAATCTTTAAACAAACAAAATGACAGAAGAGTGATTGTTTTAATGTATATGTATATCTAGCCAATAGTCTCAGATTACTTAAATAGATCAAGCTGACTCTAGCGTATGGTTCTCCAAAATCTGCAGAGTCCTAAATGAACTACATTGTCTTTATGTATGTAGGGCAATAAGGCCAGAGGCCTGCAGGAACATTCCTCCAGTGTGGATCTGGACAGCTCCATGTCTAGCACATTAAGTAACACTAGCAAGGTAAGTACATTTTACCTTTTTATAACACCCCGAGGATCAGGCCAACAGCCCCTCTATCTCTAGGGCTCTGTCAGAAAGCACAAACGCCTAATACCTCTAGTCGTAAAGTTTGGTATTTCTAGACCTTTGGTTAGCTAGCTCAATTTTAAAATAGAAGCTTTATAAAAAGTAAGTGGCCATACCATAAACAAGGAAACAATATTATATTCTTAGACAACTAAGATCTAATTTATAGCAGAATAACCAGTAGATTTTCCACACACACACGTGTGTGTATGTGTGTATTAGGTTTTTGGTGGTAGTGGGGTTTGCACTCAAAGCCTCAGGTACTCTTCACTTGAGTTACATTTCCACAGTAGATTTTTTCTTTAAATAAAAAAATAGTTAAAGTTGGGCTAACTACAAAAGGGGGGTTGCAAATTTAGAGAAGGATGCAGTGTTGTCCTTTAGCTAGTTCCATCTTTATAATTAAATTTAATTTTTTTTGTACTGGAGTTGAACTGAGCTGGAGCCATACCTCCAGCTCCTTGTGCTTTCAGTTATTGTTCACATTGTATCTCATTTTTGCCCAAGGATGATCTCAGAACATGATCCTCCTATCTGTGCCTCCCACCTACCTGGGATTAATTCAAATCTGCCAAGAAGTGAGCTTGGCTTTTTTGGTGGTTAACTGGAGCTAAAAGAGTCTTACAAACTTTCCTGCCTGGGCTGGTTTTGTATCACAATACTCAGATCTCAGCCTCCTTTAAGCACTGATTTACAGTAATGATAGCAGTTCTTTTCTTTGTAAAAGCATGTATGTTGAAATCATAGCATATAAAATATTATTATGATTCTTAATGCTTATGCATTTAGTAGTGAGAGAGTGCCTAAGAAAAACAGTAGATTCCATTTGAATACATTTTGCAGTGTGTAAAGCATTGTAACAATTCTAGAAATGGTGAGATAAATTTTCACTGTGCCCTTACAGAAGAGGAAAATGCAATGCAGAAAGAAGTTAAGTGAGTTCTGTTGGACTGTGACAAATGTCTAGGAAGACATTTTTCAGTACTTAATGAAGTATAGTTTTTAGCCCCAATATTAACAACTTTAGAAAGAGATTTCAAATGTAATAGACTCGGAACAGCGAACTAGTTATATAGCATACATAGTTTTATAAGCAGTAGTAAATATCTCTTTTTCAGAGAGAGGGATTTTTGCAATGCTAGGGATTGAACTCAGGACCTTGTACATGCTAGATAATTGCTCTACTGTTGAACTACACTTCCAGCTATGAGAGGGGAGTCTTTATGGCATCACTTGAAAACAATTATATGTAATGGCTTGTGTCCTTCGTTCTTGTATTTGAACAACTTTCCTAATCCTCCACTAGCATCTTTCTCTGGCCATCAGGTATATAATGGACCTCTATGTTTTTGGTGGGCCCTTGGTGGCATTCTAATAAGTACCTGTATATTAAAATGTATTCCTGGCCAGGTGCCATGGTTCATGCTGGGAATCATTCATTACAGCAGAAAAACCTCAGTATGGTGATATATATTTGCCATCCCAGCTATGTGGGAAGAAAAAGTAGGAAGATTGCAGACCAGGCTGGCCCAGGCAGAAATCAGAAGCTTTCTCAGAAATAACCAAAACAAAACAACCCAAGCACAGTGATTCAAACTTAGAATCCTAGCACTTGGGAGATGGAGATTGGGGATTGAAATTTTTTTTGGCGGGGGGAGATTGAAATTTTGAGGCCAGTCCCAGCAAAAAGTTTTTCAAGACTCTTATCTCAGCCAGGGTAGTAAGTCTTTCATCCCAGCACAAAGGCAAGCACAAATAGAAGGAACATTGTCTAGGCCAGCCAGACCAGAATAACACGAAACTATAGCTCCAAAAAAAAAAAAAATGAAGCCGGGTGCCAGTGGTTCATACCTGTAATCCTAGCTACTCAGGAGGCTGAGATCTGAGGATCATGGCTCAAAGCCAGCCTGAGCAGGAAAGTCCATGAGACTCTTATTTCCAATAAACCACCAGAAAACCAGAAGTGGTGCTGTGGCTCAAGTGGTAGAGTGCTAGCCTTGAGCTGAAGAACTGAGGGACAGCACCTAGGCCCATAGTTCAAGCCCCACGACTGACCAAAAAAAAAGCCTTGGACTGCGGTTAGAGGTTTTTCACTTCTCCCAGATTCCCCTGTGTGACTTCCAACCTACTGTCTGTCTGCTGCCAGGAGCCATCCATGGGTGACAGGGATGCCATGCCTAATTCTGAGAGCTCCTTCAAGCTTCTCAGCTCCTCGGATGACCTGTCCAGTGACTCGGAGAGCCACCTCCCAGAAGAGCCTGCCCTGCTGTCACCCCAGCAGGCCTTCCGAAGACGAGCGAACACCCTGAGCCATTTCCCAGTGGAGGGCCCGGAGTCTTCGGAGCCTGTGCAGAGATCTCCAGGAGTCGCTCAAAGAAAACTTTTGAGGTATCACTCCGTGAGCACAGAGACACCTCATGAACGAAAGTAAGAGTTGCTTAGAGCACAAAATTTGCTGTGCAAATACCTTGGATATATCTGTAACTAACCAGTGTGTGTGTGTGTGTGTGTGAGAGAGAGAGAGAGAGTGAGAGTGAGAGTGTGTGTGTGTGTGTGTGTGTTGGGTGTACTTACTGAGTCAGGTTTTACGGATGGCAAGATAAAACTGGAAGCAGTAGTGTATTCTTCCCAGCTCCCTTAGGATGTATATAGACAGGAGATGATTGCTGCTTGTTCAGGTTCCAGCATTGTCAGGAAGCAGGTAATGAGCAAAAATGGTACTTGGCTTGTATAATTACATGTCAGACAAGAGAGAGCTTGGCTGCCAGCCTCGGGAAGGGGGAGGGGGTGCGAGTGTGTGGAGGCTCATCATTTAGAAATCTGGGACTGAGCCTCTGTGGAGTGGGGACACAGTATCTCCACAAGCAGAATGGCCTGCTATGGACAGCTGGGCTGGACCAGAGCTGGGCTCAGGTCTGGCTCTATTTTGAGCTACTTGTGACCTGGCCATATCTGCTGAAGGCTCAGTAGGGAGAGCATTGTAGTTGATGTTCTTCAAATCTTTCACTGTGGGAATTCTATGTTCTTCTAAAAGATTTAATCACTTAGTAATTGGGCTCAAATGAATAGTTGGCATTTTCTGATTATAGTGAGTAGTATGATGGCAGTTTTTCCTGTTCCTTCTAAAGTCCCTTAGTGATTACACTGTAAATGGACACGGAATATATTAAAAACAATTAAATTTCCTCATCTCATAAGTGTGAAATAGGGCCACACCCAGGTGTGGTGGCTTTTTTCTTCTGCCATAGGTAGAAACCTTAGGATATGCTTGTCATATATATGTAGTTCATAAATGAGGAGTGAGTCTGTGCATCAAGTGTTTAGAATGCTTTGAGAGAAGGGGCTCATCTACCAGTCTGGAATTATAAAGAAGGACCTGGCTGCTTGTTATCTCTTGGAGATCATTACTGTTGTTTGAAACTCAGTTGGATAACATCACAGAAGCAAGACTTCCTCCAGAAGCTGGTTTAAATTGGTCATCTTATTGCTGCATAGTGTGGCTGCAGTTGAAGTTTCTTGTCAAGTTTCTTAGTGCCTCGCTGTATCCCCACTGCAGGCCCAATCCTCTGCATTTGCAGTATAGTAGAATGCTCCATTAGAAAGGCCTGGTTCTCTTGTCAAATATAAGCCACAGTGGTAACACTGTCCCTGCTTTCCCTTTATCCTCTAAGAATGTAGTTTTGCAATGGATTGTGTTGGACCTTAGTGATGATGGATGGGGACTTGTGCCTGTGTATGCATGTCTCTCTACTGTGGCCATTTTGCTTTCTCCCCCAACCCCCATACCTTTTCTCATTTATTCACAGGAAACAAGGCATTAAGATTAAGCAAAATATTCTTCTTTTAAAGGAAAATGTGTTTTTAAAATTTTAAAAAATTTTCTTTTGTTTCTATTCTAATTAAATATTTTTAGCCTCTCAGTTCCCAGAAAGGGATTGAGAAAAAGTATTAATACATTAATTAAAATCTATAATGAAAGGATAGACAAGGGAAACTGTTGAAAATGGCTTCTAATTCTATTTTCCCTGAAAACAACCTTTGCCAATGAGAGCGAGTGGGAAAGAATTCTTTGGATTCCCTGATAGCTCATGAGACACAAAGAATTGAGTCTCTGTTTTCTTCCTCCTTTCCCCTCAGCTTCAAAATGGTCTCCTCTATTTCCTTCCCTTCCTTTTCCCCTTCCCCTCTAACCCCCAGTGCTCTTTCCTGTTGCTCCTTAGCGAGGACCATCCTGTGGGCGAGTCTAAGCATTGCTCAGGTCAGCCTTCAGCTCCTGCTCCTCCACCTCGTCTTAACCCCTCTGCCTCCTCGCCAAACTTTTTAAAGTACCTAAAGCATAATTCCAGTGGAGAGCAAGGTGGGAATGCTGTGGCGAAGAGGTGAGCATCTCGCATGGCAAGTTCAGTGTCATTTGTCACCTTGGGAGTTCACACCCAGTTCATCCTGCATGGGGGCCAGGTTGGCAGCCCCTGTGCTGCTTGTGTGAATGTTTTTGGTCTATCATATCTATCTGATATATAAATTGACTTAATCTTATTCATAACATCCTTTAAAATAAAGAGTCTTGATGGTAAGCCCTTTTACTTACTAATTTTCACACCTCACATTAGTGTGTACCTACATGTGCATGTGCACAGGTTAACAGCTGTTTGCTATTGTACACTTTCATTTGCATCTCATCTGAAACCCCCAATTACTTTAGAAAAATCATCTTTTTCCAATTTGGAAAGAAAAGTCATTTAGAATATGTAATGCTTTTGCTGGGCGCTGGTGGCTCACGCCTGTAATCCTAGCTACTCAGGAGGCTGAGATCTGAGTATCGCGGTTCAAAGCCAGCCTGGGCAAGAGAGACCGTGAGACTCCTATCTCCAATAAACCACCAGAAAACCGGAAGTGGCGCTGTAGCTCAAGTGGTAGAGCGCTCACCTTGAGCTGAAGAGCTGAGGGACAGCGCCCAGGCCCAGAGTTCAAGCCTCACGACCGACCAAAAAAAAAAAAAAGAATATGTAATGCTTTTTTAAACATGTACACATAAATTGCATGCCTTTATAATCAAGTCTTTCTGAGCACTGGTGACTTGACTCATACCTGTAATCCTACCTACTTAGGAAGCTGAGATTTGAGGATTGTAGTTTGAAGACAGCCCAGGGAGGAAACTCTGTGAGACTCCTTATCTCTATAAACACCAAAAAAAGCTAGAAATGGAGCTGAGGCTCAAGTATAGAGCGCTAGCCCTTGAGCAAAAAAATCTCAGGTATTGCACCCAGGCCTTGAGCTTAAGCCTGGGATCGGCATATACCTATAAAAAATATCTAGTCTTAATATTGACTGAAAATGAAAGTTAATCTCATTTGTGAACTATTTTAACTTCTTACTTAGTTTACTTTTCTTAGCATTAGGACAAAAATGTTTAAACTTATATTTTTTACTTTGTGTGTTTATATTTCTCGATCCTAAAGTATTTTTTCAACCAAACTCTCAGCATCTCCTACCGTAATGCCCTGCGGAAAAAACTTCATTCTTCTTCCTCTGTGCCAAATTTTCTAAAATTTCTGGCTCCTGTAGATGAAAATAACACCTCTGACTTTATGAACACAAAAAGGTAGGGCTTCATTCACATGCATCAAACCTGGATGTTGAAAGTGTCAGATTATTGTTAAATATATGGTGGTATTTTAACTGTTCTTTTGCCATTTAGAATATTATTTGATTTAAATGTATTGCATCTCTTTTCTTACTTTTTTTCTTACTGAATGTCATTTTAAGGGAAATGGACCATCAACCTGTTCTCTAGTTTTGACTTTGGTTAGTTTCTGAATATTATCTTTCGTAGGCTAAAGGAAGTCTAGTGCTCTGAGAGTAATGTTCCTGGGTAATAAGCTTATGTTGTCCTAAATAAATCATGGTTGTTAATCTACCAGTTGGGCTGATTGCTTCATTATTGATACATACTTGGGGATAAATTACATATAAAGGCCTCCTTAAGTTATTCTGTGAAGGGGAAGAAAATTAATGATTAGACTGTATTTATATATGTTAACAATTATACTTCAAAGTTCCTAAAATGATAAATGTTTAAGAAGCCATAATCAGCAAGTAGCTGTTATCATTGTCTTTTATAGTTCATTGTAATTAAACTAACTTTTTAAAAATTCTGGTCATCATGGAGATCAGAGCCTGTATTGAGAAAATATTCCCATACAGGGCTAAGCTAGATTGGTCCTGGTGACTGCAGACCCGTTATGCAGTTTTTCTTGCAGCAGCACCAGCGAAGACCAATTGGAATCTCTGGTCTGTGAACATATTTCTTAGGAATCACTTACAGATGTGTAGTTTTGCTCTTTCTATGGGAAACTTCTTAACAGAGAGCAGATCTTTAGGAACACTGATCCACTGTGAGCTGGATTCAGTCTCTCTGATTAATTATGTGTGTTTATGCAAAAATAATTCATAATTAAAAGTGCTTTCTTTTTTAAAGTCAAGCTAAAAAGAAGCCATTAATATCTGCTTGCCGGTCATACACCAATGATCTTGCACTTTTAGGGACTATGAATCCAAAGCGAATCACTTTGGTGACTCGGACACGACCCCTGTGAAGACCCGGCGGCATTCATGGCGCCAGCAGATCTTCCTCCGCGTGGCCACACCACAGAAGGCCTGTGATTCCCCCAGCAGATATGATGGTGAGTTCACACACCTTCACAGAGGCTCTAGGGTACCCTGCTATTGACCACAAGCTGGAAAACGTGTTTCCTCCCTACTGGAAAGTCTGAGTGGTCACACTCCAGATAGCTTTGGACCATAATCTTCCTAATTGCCTCTTGAATAGCTGAGATTACAGGCATGAGCCATCACATCTGACTATTTGTGAGCATTCTAACATCTAGATCTGCCTTCAGTCTGTATGTTCCCTTCTCCTCCCACATTACTTAACCTTGGGATTCGAGTATGTGACTTTTCTTCTCCCAAAGCAGGTCACTGTCCTCTGTCACTGTCACTTCCCATCCTTAGGACACACAGAGGCCCTAGGCCTACTATTGTGGTCAGTATCTGCTTTGTCCACTGTCTACTGTCCCAGCAGAGCAGCCACTGCTAGAAGTATGCCAGGTCTTTGTTTCTGCCCTGCCATAGCAGCCAACATGTAGGTGGCAGAGATGTCCACAGCCAGATGGCCGGTCTCCCACTCTGACTTGAGAATTAAAGTCATGCAAGTGCTTTGGGGAGAAACACTCTTCACAGGGCCTTGTAACCCTCTGTTGAGATGCACAAAGTGACTGACTATTCGGTGTATAATCTGATGGTGTAGACTTCAGTTAAGCAGTTACAAAGTGAGACTGGGAGCTTTTCACTCCTCCATCCTTTTCCTCCCACTTGGAAATGCCCACTAAAATAAACACCAAGTCATTTTAAAACCATAGTATTTAATTTGCCACCATGGTATTATTGAAGGGAAAATGGGATTTCTGTACTTTAGGGGGCTCTAATTTTTATGGATTCAGAGGGGGTGTTAATTAAATATTTTAAAATTTAAAATGGGAGGAAAATGAAAAGTCAAACAGTGGGAATACAGGTAGAGAGATTTGACTGGGCAAATGCTGTCTGACAAAATTAGTCTGGCATTTACTTAGGGCTAAGTGGCTGATTAAACACCCTGTGAAATGATTAAGTTGCAAGAAATTGAATTTGACATTTTTAGAAACCTACCCGAAAAAGGATGTTAATTTATAGTCAGAAATCACTTACATATAACATTCTTAAATCATTCTATCCCACCTCCCCCGACCCCTACAAGTGTTGAGAATCAAGCTTCACACATGCCAAGTAAGCAGTGTACCTCAGAGCTATCACTAGTTCCCTGTTTCTTCCCTCCCTCCTTCCTTCCCTCCCTCCTCTCTTTCTCTTTCTCCTTGCTCTCTTTCTCTCCTTTCTTTCTTTTTAATTTGGTGGACCAGTCAACTCATATTGTAACTTAATAGAGTCTGAGAGGGCTGTTTCAAATCCAAACTTGCTAAAGTTTAGATCTGTTTTTCTTACATGGAAGGTCTGGTGTATAGTAGGCACTGCAGGAAGGAAAATTGCATACTAAAGAGGAAAACACTGAGTTTTATCAGAGACTTAGCAAAGCAACTGTTTACACAACAAAGCAAACAGAAATGTCAAAATCGGATATGAAAAGCCCATGATAGGTTTATATGTAAGGCACGGGGCATCAAGATGAACCAGGTTTTTGGTGGTCGCTCACAGCTATGGCCCCTAAAACCCCAGGAAAAGAATATTTTATCTCCTTTGTGCCATGTGTTCTCTGGGTGAAAGGTTGTGTGAAGCCGAGTACCATACTTGGTAAAGTATTTTCTTAGTTAAGGGTGGTTGGTATGAGGAGAGTGTTAGTAAATCAAAGCAAGACTGTTAAGAGGTTGTGTTTTAGGGGTTTCAGGCTGTGTCTGTGGGCATAGCTGAGGGCAGAAGCACAGGCTCTTCTGCGGGAAGAGAGTGATGCCTGTCTTGCATCAGCCTCTCATTTTCAGAGCCTCGCTGTTGAGTCCTATAGTAGCCCTTGCTGCTAGCAAACAGGTGGAGGTGTTTTCAGTCCTTAAGTGAAGATATGCACACAGCTGTTGACTCAGTGACTGTCCAGATCCTGGAATAGCACAACTTTTCACCAACTTGCATGGGCATGGAGTCCTTCAGTGATCTTGTCAAAAGGTGGATTCTGATGCAATAGGCCCAGCTGGTCCAGAGACAAGCCTTCCAGTGATGCTGACATTGCTAGGCCACTTGAAATAGCAGCAAGGGCTTAGGATAAACAGTCATGACAAATCTGATCCTGTCCGAGGCTGGCTTCTCTGTTAGGCTGCTCTAAGTCTCCACAGATGGGCTCAGGGGTCTCCAAGAATCAATCACAAGCCTCAAGTAAATCTGGATCATCAATTGCCTTTTTTTCTTCAAGATGGTAGGAATCAAACCCAGTACCTCATACATGCTAGGCAAACACTCTACTACTTGAGCTACACTAGGCAATCAGTGACTTTTCTGAGAGGAGCTGTGTGTCTAAAATGGTGAAGGGTTAGTGTGGTGGGGAAAATGTAGTAACAAAAGTAATGATAGGCTGGGCGCTGGTGGCTCATGCCTGTAATCCTAGCTACTCAGGAGGCTGAGATCTGAGGATTGCGCTTCAAAGCCGGCCTGGGCAGGAACATCTGTGAGACTCTTATCTCCAATAAACCACTAGAAAACCAGAAGTGGCGCTGTGGCTGAAGCGGTAGAGTGCTCGCCTTGAGCTGAAGAGCTGAGGGACAGCGCCCAAGCCCAGAGTTCAAGCCCACCCCACGACTGACCAAAAAAAAAAAAAAAAAAGATAGTTAATGGGAAGATTTGGTGATATACCAGATGATGCCAACCCTATGGTGCTTTGCTTCTCTGCTACCGAGTTCCTTTCCAGCAGAACTTTGACTCATGGGTAGCACCTAGGACAAAGATACAAATGTATGCAGGGCTCTGTTTTCCTAACGGAGAGCTTTAACTGTCAGGCTTGTGACCAATGTAGAAAATTAGCTTCTGTATGGTTGTACATACACCCCACAGTTTCTTTCCCCAGTGTATCACACAAAAGAGAATTGTTTAAGGAATAGTTTTTTAGGCAGCTTTCCACTTGGAATGTTTTTAGAAACAAAAACAGAAAAAAACAACTGTATATGCCAAGGAATAATTTTAGTCTTAGTTTAACACTTCACTTAAGCATTTCAGATTACATTGTGCATTTCACCAACAATGGAAGCTTTCAGACTTGACATGTCATTAGAAAAAGGAAGAAAAACCTATTCTCATGTAGGTAAGAATGATTTATTGATTTGAGATAAATCATTATATAAGCAAATAGTCCAGTGAAGCCGAAGATCAAGATTCTTTTTAGCTGGGTATCGTGGCTCATGCCTGTAATCCTAGCTACTCAGTAGGCTGAGATCTGAGGGTTATGGTTCATAGTCATCTCAAGCAGGAGAGTCCATGAGACTTATCTCCAATTAACTACCAAAAAAGCTGCAAGTGGGGCTGTATCTCCAGTGATAGAGTGCTATCCTTGAGCAAAAATCTCAGGTACAGCACTCAGGCCCCAAGTTCAAGCCCTAGGATCAGCACACACATACACAAAAAGGTGTGTGTATGTGTGTGAGTGAGTGTGTGTGTGATATAACTGCCCATATGCCTCATTTATAGTAAGGGTAAATTTAAATATTAAGTACAAACTTCAATATGAACATTAATGACACAACTAAGCAAGTGATTAAGTCTTTATGATCTCAACTTCGTTCCTGTGGAAAAAAGTTTTTTAGTGGAAAAAAGGTAGAAAGAATATTGTAATTGATTTATTTATGTTGTATGTTTTGTATAATTCAATCTTCAGACATTTATGTACTTTTAGGAAATTTTGATAATAGCAATAAGTAAAATTTTCCCAGAATATACAAGCATGATACTGTCTGATTTTTGCCTTGATCAATAGTTCTCAGCTTTCTGGACATTAGACACAAGGAGACTTTTGAGTGTACAACTTGGACATGCCCCTCTGTCTGAGTCCTGGGTGCAGAAAAGGGGTCTGGGCATAAATTATTGTTTTGTGGGGGTTTTTTTCCCCTCTCCTCCCCCAAGGTTCCTCAGAGGGTGATTTGAGAAGTTCCTACCACTTGGTGGCAGTGTTGATCTTTGTCGTAATAGCTATGGTTTCTTTCCAGGCCCCAGAAGAGTGTACTTGCTTGATTTTGCCTCATGTTTTTCTTTTGACCCTGTTATGATAACTGTTTTTCTTGCCCATTCACAGCTTATTTTTCTCTTTTTTTTCTTCAAGATCTCATGGTATGGGCAAAACAAGGGAAAAAAATCATGTCTCTTTGCTTGGAAGACATGCTTTTAAACAAATTGTTATTTGTTTGTTCTGAGACACTAACTTTTCCTAGTGAGCCCCTGGCACTTAAACAGCCAATCTTAAAATTTGTGTGAGATCTGGAGCTAAGGCTTACAGTCTGGAGACATTACCTTGACCTCTTGAGAGCAGGTCTAAGGGCTTGGATTGCAAGAGGCACTGGAGTTGGAAGCTTTGATGGTGTTAGGTGACTGTGACACCCTATGGCCACGGTGCCCAGGCTGGCAGGGCTCACTTCCTGAGCACTAATGCTTGTGTGCCCAGAAGACAATGTCCAAAGTGGAAGATCTTGATCTGCCACCTTGAACTTGAATCTGTATGCGCTAGAGAGTTGATAAAGTATTTAAAGCCAAGGGAATGTATGCAAGTGGTTGAAAATATTTCTGAGTGTAAAATCTGTAGGCCTGCTAAGACACTTGTCAGCTTCAAAATGAGGCAGGACAGAGCTGGAGTAAAGGGGAGACCAGCATCTATTCCCCTAGATTAAAAAGTGGAAGGTGGCCCAGGCCCTTTCGGTGATGACCCTGTGCTTATAGGGCCTCCAGAGTGCACAGTTCCAGCAGGCATGCTGCAGGAGCCTACTGCTCCACTGGCCCAGGACTCATCAGGGTGCTGCGTACCCCACAGCCCACTCACATCCCTGTGGGCAGCTCTTAGAGGGAAGGCTGCCTTAGCTCTGAAGAGGGATTTAGGCAGGAAAGGTTTGCTTTGGTTTCGCTTTAAACAGCAAACAGCACCACTGAAATATAATTCACATACTGTACAAAT